AGGTCAGTACTTGGTGGCATCACAGAATAAGATAGGTTTTTGCTATGCTCAGTTGCCAGACTCTTTATTTTCTCCCCGAGAAATGCTGGAGTTTTTTTTTTTTATAACCCAGCAAAAACACTTTGGAAGTACTTTGTTTACAAAAACAGTGATAGGCATTCACATATATGGTTGCTAGGCTAAAGTACAGTCAATAAAAACTATGTACTTGGCTAAATAATGAATTTTTTAACTCAAGCCTATCCTATTTTTTGGGTTTTTTGTTTTTGTTTTTGTTTTTTAAACAGAAAATTTAAGCATCCATTGTTTATCTAGCATTTGCATTTACTTGGGAGCTCTGGATTTTTGTTTGATAAATCAAGCAAACTTATTCACAAAAAGAACCATTTATTATTTGGGTACAAGGTGTTTCTAGAAACTAAGTGAGTGCCAATTTGGTTTAAGTTTCATTTCAATGAGTACTTAAGACAGATTGTCTATTAATCAGGGAAGAGAAAAGATAAGGTTTATTTGCAAATATCACTTTGACTCTTATGGAATGGTACTATTATAAGTTGCTCCAAGGATCATTTAATAAAATAAAAAATAATTTATTTTGTGATAGAAATAAAATATTTGGATACCTATTGATAATGAACCCTGTTTTGCAACAAAGTTGGATAGACTGCATGTTTGCTGTCCTTGAAAAAATATTCACAATGCAATTGTCTGTAACTTTTATACTTAGGAAGACATAATATCATGATAGAAATAATGATGGTGAAATGGATAAGTAGCAGTTACAGTACAGAAAATAGTAGTTATTACATTTAATATTAATGAAATAATAAGCACCAATTGCTCTAATATTATAACTTCTTCACTCACTTTGATTCAAATTGAGTGGAATTAACTCAATCTCTAGAGGCCAGTGCTTGTTAATTTCAAGCTGTCTGAAAAATGCCATCTCTCCTGTGGCAGTCAGTGTGCGACAGTCCTCCTCTGGGCATCAAGATGATCAGTGAGAATTAGCAGTACATAATGACCTCCAAAAACAAATTTTATATTTACATGTTTGGTAAACTCTTCACAGCCACTGTAAATTGTTGAGAAAGAAGACAGATTTCAGTTTTTCAGACAATTGCTTTGTGACCCCACATGTACTACACGAAGAAAGATCCTGACATTGAGATGAAGACATAGGCATTACCAAAGTTTCAGAGAAATGAAGCCAAAATCCTGATACAACTTAGAACCTAATAAACCTTCACTTTCCTCAAGTTTGCGCACATAGCTATACCTCCTTTGTTTAATTACTGTGACATGGTTTAATTACTGGCATTGATGACAGACAATTACAATATACCAACATATAAATAGGCCACCTTATTTTTTCCCTTATTTATTCATTGATTATTTATTATATTTATTCACTTTGTATCCCAGCTGTAGCCCCCTCCCTCATCTCCTCCCAGTCCTACCCACCCTCCCTCTTCTCCCCTTATGCTCCTCCCCTAGTCCTCCTCCCCTACTATCTTACCCTAGCCTATGAGGTCTCATCAGGACTGGTTGCATCCTCTTCCTCTGTGGCCTGGCAAGGCTGTCCCCAACCCCAGGGAGGGGTGATCAAAAAGCCAGCCACTGAACTCCCATCAGAGACAGCCCCTGCTTCCCTTACTAGGGAAGCCACTTGGAAACTGAACAGCCTACGGGCTTCCTTTGAACAGGGGGTCTATGTCCTCTCCATGCATGGTACTTGGTTGGAGTATCAGTTTCTGCAGGACCACTGGGCCCAGGTATTTGGGCTTTTTTGGTCTCCTTATGGAATTACTGTCCTTCCAAGTCTTTCTATCTCCCTTGTCTTCCATAAGGTTTCCTGCCCTTTGCCCAAAGTTTGGCAATGAGTCTCAATATCTCCTTCCATACCCTGATGGGCAGGCCCCCGTAGGCTCAGATATTTTGGTTCTGTTGGTCTCTTTATGGATGGCTCAGCCTTTAAAGGCTAGGCTCACTTAGCTTTTTTATAATCAGCTTTAATAAGTTTTTTCTGCTAGATCAGAGACAGCAATCTATACCACATATATTTACATATGATTGTTAGACATATAGTTTAGAAATTAAACAATTTTTCTAACAAATGCAGCTAAATTTTACTCAGGATGTTGAAATTTCTTTTTATGTTTGAGGTACCCTCTTACTATTCTTTCTCTTTTTTTTTAAATCTTTGACCATGTGATATATGCATATAATTTATTTTTATCCCTTGTTACCCTCTCTTATTCCTTGCTCATTGAAACTCTTATTTTTCTCATAAAGCCCCTGTACTAATTCCATGTCCTTTTGGGTGTACATATAATATATTGATTAATTTGACAGCTTTCAAGAACATGGGTAGTGGGTTCTCTACTGGAACCTGAGCCTCTAAACAGTAGCAACCCCACTGAAGAGGGTGATGTCCTTTCCTGCAGCAGCTCTTACCTGCCTATGGTTCCTTAGTAAGTGGTGAGTTTCAGGAGTAAGTGCCTTATCCAAGCACAATGAAATTGTGATATGGCCATTTTTTGTGTGGAGGGGGTGTTGTTGTTGCTGTTGTTTTGTAGGTAACTCTTCCTCATCTTCTGACTCTTACCATCCTTCTGCAGCCTCTTCCACAATGTTCCTTCTGTTTTGGAGGAAGTGATATCTATGTCCTGTTTAGAGATGAAACTCCACAATAGTTTTTCTTAGCTCTTCAGCAAGTTTTGAGTCTCTGCATTAACTGCCACTCGTGAAAAAAACAAGTTTTCCTGATGAAGGCTGAAATAACAGTGATCTGTGGGTTATAGACATAACTCTTTAGAAGAAAATCTGATACCAAATTTGCTTTGAACAAGAAGACTATCTTTGGACCTATGGTCTATGAGCTCTTGACAATGCTCTTTTTTTCTTTTCTTTTTTTTTTTTAAAAACCAGGTTCTTCCTTATATATTGCAGCACAAATCCAATCAGAAAGCAATCCCTTACCCCAATAATAAAAATGCTTATACTGCACTAGTGAGCAGATCTTGCCTAGACAATTGTTGTTGAGGTTCGTAGAGTTCAAAGCTATATAAGTCTGTTGATGACTTTTCTCTCTCAGTAGTTTCTGCAACACTTTTCCAGAACTGTGAAGGTTAGCCAGTAATGAGGAAATTTCCACAGTTTATCTTTGTGTAAAACTACTGTTTTTGGTATGTTCAGTAACAGGGTATTATAATTCATCAATTTCTGTTGGGCAACCAAATACAATGACAATTGCCTATTTTCTTTGGAGGATGGGCAGCTCTAGGGCCTCCCTGATCAACAGCTCATTAGGGAGTATCCCATACCTGGAACTGGAATTTTCATTTAATAACTTTGGGTTCTGGGTAAGTGCAGGGTGTTTACAATCAATAATTTCTTTTTTATTTTTAGTTGTAGACTTTAATAGACATAGAAAATAGATTTCCATATAGCCTTTTAATAGTCTATAGCTCATATTAATTCTCTCTCCTCTACTTTCACATAACATGTATTCTATTATCCAGCAAACACCACTCTCATATTCTTTTTCCCCCTCTCCAGAATATTTGCTCACTTCCTAGCATCTACAAACACTCCAAATTAAATACACAAATCTAAAATTTCAAAGCTAAGATAATCATATGAGAGAGGATACATAGTACTTAACTTTCTGAGGCTGAAATGTATCAGTCAGTATATTTTCTAGTGGGCTAAATTTTGTTTGTAAATTTAATAATTTTATAGATGAATAAAATTTCATTTTATGTACGTACCAACTTTCAGGGTACTGGTTATATCATGGTTTTCATACATGAAGTCACTGCATTGACTAGTAGGGGCATCATTAAGACCATATAAAGCGTAAGGCAACTTTTGCTTTTGTTTTTATTTTGTGTTTTGGTAGAATGGAAAGAAAAAGAAAATGGCTGGTGTAATTCAGCAGCTGTCTGTAAGGTTGTAAGATGTCTAGGATAAATCCTGTTTCCGTCCTTAAAGGTGCCTTTCTTACATAGTTTAAGTAACACATGGATGTCTTACATTTTCCCAAATGATCAAAAGTACTTTCAGTTAGTCTTGCACAATCCTGTTAAGAAGAAAGTCTTAGATTAAACTCATTAACTCCAAAGTATTAGCATCTTAATTAAAATGCAAATCCTATTCAAAAAGATTTACATTTCAATGAAAAAGAATGGAGAGGATAATTCCTGGTTTAAAAGCATGAGGAAGGACTTGGAGTATTTCAAGAACTAAAAGAACTATTTACAGGCAAGGATGTTTGAATATCCATGTTACAAACCACACGATTAGAAACTGACTTTGAAACTCTTCATTAGGGGTTAAATGGCCGACTAGAAGCCATGCTGGAGCAAGTGGCTGATAACACTTTGAGGAATAAAGAGTATTGGAAGAGCATATCACAATCACACCACCTGCTGTTTCTCTGATGATAGAATAGACTTGATCAATACACCAACAAATTTCTCCTAACGTCATACTCACACACTTTTTCTACAGTCAGATTTGACTTACTGCTTGTGTATCTAATGGAGCTACCGCTTCAAGAGCAGAATTTTACCCCAGGCAAACTGGGTTAAAAGACTTCTACCATGAAATCTGCAAAAACAGTACTGGAAAGGTTCCACAGAAGACGTCCCCAGCCACTACTGCAGGTCCACCAGCTAATTACCCAACAAGGAAAGCTAGTACCGGCAACCAAACACACCGCTGAGTGCCACATAGCCACAATCATTCTTGACTTGAGAAACATAGAAACCTTGGGTAGGCCAGTTTGCCTTAAGTACCCACAGCTCACAGAGCATAGCCAAGAAACTCCGTATAAAAGGAAAAATGGGGAACCCACAAGAGAAGAACAAGATTGATAAAAATCAACAAAGAGTACAGCCCAGAACAGGATCAGGAAGACAAAGCAGAGGATCTACCAAGGAGACAAAAATCAATATTCAGTTCAGTAACTTCATCTTCTTAGAACTCCCCCCTCCCATTTCACCTTATCTTTCAGATGTTCACATTCAGAACACTGAGCTTAGACACAGCCCCTCTCCTCTCTGCTGCCTACTGATAGCACGTGTGGTATAGCAGTCACACCTGTAATGCTGCTAGGAGCAGGTAGAAAATACTTTTATGGCCCAGAGGGTCCTGAAGAGAACGATACCCCAACCAAGGACAATGCATGAAGAGCACCTAAAACCCTGGCTCAGATGTAGCCCATAAACTCAGTCTCCAAAATGGTTCCCTAGTAAGGGAAGCAGGGACTTTCTGTGGGATGAACTCAGTGGCAGGCTCTCTGATCACCTCTCGCTGGGGGTGCAGCCTTGCCAGGCCACAGAAGAAGTCAATGCAGCCATTTCTGATGAGCCCTGATAGGCTAGGGTTAAATAGAAAGGGAGGAGGACCTCTTCTATCAGTGGACTAGGGGAGGGACATAGGAGGAGGTGGGTAGGATTAGGAGGAGATGAGGGAGGGGGCCACAGCCAGGATACAAATTGAATAAATTGTAATAAATAATAATAATAATAATAATAATAGAGAAAAAAATTTAAAAGAAAATATGTTTAATCCAATTAAAGAAGAAAAATGTCAAAATGGACAGGAAGGAAAGTCCATCTGTATAAAAGAAGCACAGCAGACAGGACCAGAAAAGGTGCTACGGTATATTATAGTAAAGCTGTCCAGTGGCTGCACAAAGAAAATATATTGAAACCTGCAATGGAGAAGAATCAAATATATGCAAAAGCAGTCCTAACAGAATAACTGCTAATATTTTGCTCCAAACCATGAAAAGAAAAGAGTCTTGGGCTAATGTGTTTCAAATTCTGAAATATCACAATTGCCAACTCATTCTAACATTCCAAGCAAAAATATCACGCATGATTGGCAATCAAATATGGTAAAAACAGGCTAGAAAATCATGACAACTAAGCTACCTAAAGCAGATATTGGAAAGAATACTTCAAAACACACAATGTACTACTAGAGGAAAAAAATAACTGATGCTTTTATACTCATTAAACAAAAGATTATGAAATTCTTAAACACTACAAGTTCAGCTGACAGGTAGCAATACAAACCAAACAATCATAACGTTTAATGTTAGTAATCTCAATTCACCCATTTAAACTCAAACAAATAGATTTGAGTAGAAACAAAGGTTTGCTTTTTGCTGACTTTAAAACCTTTCTGCCAAAGTTTAAAAACAATCTGGGGTCAAATGAGAGAAAAAATGTACTCTAAAAAAATGGGACCAAAACCAATTACTCATTCCTATATTAATATCTGACTAAATAATGACAAAAATTATTTTTAGAAGAGATGCTGATCAACATAGCATTCCATCAGGAGGAAATTACATTTCTAAATATACATGTATACACATATATATGCAGCAAATATAGGAGAGAGGCTCATTCAACTTCACGATGCAAACACTAACAGATTTAAAATAAATGCTGACCCAGAAATAGTGGGTGACTTTAATACTCCACTCTCATTATTTGACAGATCAACTGCGTGACATCCTCTAAAGAAACACTGACGTTAAGAGCATCATACATGATGTGGAAGAGATAATATGTAAGAGCTCAGATTGGAGTGATGTGCAATAAAAAGAAGTCATCTGGACATGTATAACCATTGCACTCACCTGTGATTATATGAACAAAACCTGCACCAGGTTGGATTCTTCACCACTGCATGATGAGCTGGGAAGGGCCCTAACAGGAGGAGGTGTCAGTGGTGTAGCCATGGATAAATTCCCCTTGCTCCACTGAATAACAGCTCCCCATACATAGAAAAAGAATTCTTACTAAACTCAGTGGGACACACACAAAAAGAAAATGGAAGTAGGAGTGGGGCTTGTTGAGAAGACAGGTTAGAGTGGCAGAGAGGGAGAGAGGGGAATGGAACAAAACTTAAAATGTTTTATTTAAAGCTATGAAACTGTCAAATAAGAACACGGTTAGAGATATGTCTGGTAGAGCACTTGCCTAGTATGTGTGAGACTCTAGACTCTATCTCAACACTGAAAAAAAAGGAGGGAGGGGCTTATGGGGGGATACAAAATGAATAAAGTGTAATTAATAAAAATTAAAAAAAATAAAAAAATAAATATACATTTAATAAAAAAATGAAAAAAAATTAAAGTTTTACTAAGTAAAAAAAAAATTTATCACTCCAATCCTATTCATTCCAAGACAAGCCCTAGTCATATTTTTTTTAAATGGAGTCATTATTTATTTGATCTACATTAGGATAAAGTAGATTTAAAGAAATCAAGTCAGACTTAATATATATGCTTAAACTACTTAAAGGGATATGTGTTTTAGATATGATTCTGCTGAATGTCTTTTCCTCAAATCATCTTCTAAAACACTAAGCTGAGTTTATTACTTTTTTCAGAAGACAGGGCAATGACTGGACACAGTCTTATCTCTCCAAAAGATAAGGGAAAAGTGTAATGTTATCTTATGATTTAGTTTTTGATAGACAAGTATGCTTTGAGGCTAGTCGCTGTTTCAGTCTTTAAGGGTCACACATGGAATAATCACATAATAGTTGGTGGTCAGTAGCTACAAAAGCTGAAGATTTTCTGGCAAAATTCAGTCTTTGAAGCATGATTATTATATGATATGTTCTATTAAAAATTTAATAAGAGATCATAAGAGGGAGACTATTGGGAGAGACAACTAACTCTAAAGGCCTTTTGTAAAGCTATATAAAAACTCATTACCATTTAAGTATCCTAAATATATATACATATATATAAGAAATTCACATGGAGGCACCATACAATGGGGGGGCGGGGAGAATGCCCCACTCAGACATCTCGTGCTGCCAAGTAAAATTTCCTGTGCCAGGAATTGTATCCATTTTGTTGAGTTATTGTCCCAAAAGGCCCATCGAATACCCAAATATCATAGGCTATTGCCAAAGATATTGGTTACTCTCCATAATCCAATCACAATCTGATGTTCAGGGCCTATTGCTAAGGACAAAACTTACTTATGTCATCAAACATGAAGAAATTAAAGTGTTGGCCAGCTAGAAGCTTCATTCCTATTTACTAGTGTGTATGGTGTGAAAATGTTTTTTCACACTATTGGAGGAAGAAAGGAATCATCAATGTTACCCAACTTTGAGAGTGGGATTCCAGGTAATTGTTTACATGTTTTGTTTTATTTAATCGTTAGTGTCACTATAGCATTTTTGTGATAGGAATCAGGACAAGAGACCCTAGCCTCACTTAAATAAGGTCATACACTCTTTACAGTGTGCCACAGGGCTTGAGGATGGACATCCATCCACATAAGCAGACTGGGCTCCTCTGACTCTATCAAATCAATATTACACTGCCTGGAGCCCTGCCCTTACGAAGATGACCTGATGCAAGATATAATGGTACACTAGTGACACAAATGCCAGGGAAGTAACCAGCTACTTTATTACCTGGTATAAGTCCTGCTCCACAAGCCCAAACCCATACCTGACGCTCCTAATGTGGCGAAGCACCTGAGACGGGGGAGATCCTATTCTTTCCCACACCTACCTCCTTAACTCCCTCTAGATCCACCTCACCCACCAAACTTTATGCTGTCTTTCTCTCTCAAAACTAAATGACCAAACAAACAAAGAACAACAAGAAACCCCTATGGAGTCCATGGTATAAAATTATACAATAAACTTTTATCAACTTTGTCACATTGGGGAAGAGTTATCTGAGAGGGGTAAAACATTCCTAAGCACCCAGTCTGCTGATGTGGATGGATGTCCATTCTCAAGCCAGGCAGCATATTGTAAAGAGTGTGTGTCTTTATTTAAATGAGGTTAGTGCTGTTGTCCTGAGTCTTATTATGGAAATCCTATATTGATACTAACCATTAAATAAAACAAAATATCCAAATAATTACCTGGAATACCACACACTAATAATTTAGTAGTATATAATCCTAAAGTCTCCCATTTCCATAAATGAATAAAATTTAAAAGGCTCTGTCACAGGTGGCATGCTATCTCCATGCTTTAATATTTTCATTTGAAATATGGAAATGACATTGCATAGAGATTCTTTTCTTGGATTAAATAGAATGATTCAGTAATGTCTCGAGATATCTGACACACTGAATATTCATCTCAGTTCTCTATATGGCTTTCCAATGAGATATGCTCAGATTAATACAGTTCAAGGTAATACATGTAGAGTATGAAAAAAAAAAAAGTAAAGCCTAAACTCCAGTCTCTCCATCTGGGCACCTATCTTACATGTTCTGTACTGCAATGACTAAGGTGATGTTTTGGTACCAAGAACATGAAGCATTAAGAGATTTAGTCATTGATTCGAAATGAAATTATTTATACTGAACCTTCTCACCTGCTTTGCCTGCTTCTTGTGGAAACAGGGGAACCATATCATGCATACTAGTCTCTTCACTAAGGAACTGTCATCTTACAGACAAAAATCTTGACCCCTGCAATCCATGTTCTTAAGCTGAAACTTGAAGCACTATTCAGAATAGATTCACAAAAGAGGACTCTATATTTCTGCCCCTAAGACTTGATAATTGTAGAACTGGCCAAAACACAAGGCATTATCAGCTTCAACACTGTTTTCAAAACTATCTCATTGTGCTACTTAGAATCACCATACGAGATTAAAATTTTTTACACATGTTCTTCTTCCTCTGGTATGTACCATTTTTCTGTTTTATACTTTCCTGTAATTTCTAAACTTTGGAGTATCTTATAAATAAGAGCTTTGGAAATGTGTTGTGATGGAATGGGCAGGTATTTCAAGACTTCCTTTTTAAATTTTCTAAGGTATAGAATAAGAACCCCTCAAAGTCAAATTTATTACAAGTGACCATTGATGACTTCACCTTGCTTCTGTAGAAGCTACCTGTTAAAGAAGCTGTTAAAGTACTCTTAGTATTGTTAAATTTTTAAGGAGTACCTTTGACTTGGACTGAATTGACATTTTACAGCTTCCAAAAAGGAATGAGAGAATGACAGTTCTGTTTCTAAGGTGGAGTTGAGTCTAATGTAAACACAAGACAATAAAGCATCTTCCTAATGAAATGCAAATCAAAATGACCCTGAGATTCCACCTCACACCCC